CCATCAATATTTGATGAATTTTTAACTTTAAAAATACGGTAAAAAAAACTACTTGCCCGAATTCTTTGAAACTTTGGCATAAATTAGTTTAATGTATAATAAAAAGGACTCCATACTCGGTCTTGTCATTTTCTTAAAAAAAAAAAACGTATTTTTGTCCAAAAATCGGATCGGCTGGCCCAGTGTGCAGTGGATCCATGTTTCGTCGACAGTCATGAAACGACGCAGAAACTCCTTCGGATTACGCTTAAACAGCGTCAAACACTGCTCTGAAGTGGTCTCCTGGTTGCGTTTGTTGTCCGGAGTGAGCGAACGCCGCACCCATCGCGCCGACAGCGTTTTCATGACCAAAATTTCATGCAAGATATGACCCACGCGGTCTTTTGACATGCCTACTGTCTCAGCTATCTCGCGTATCTTCAATCGGCGGTCTGCCAATACGAGATCGTGGATTTTTGTCACATTATCCTCCGTGGTAGCCATTTTCGGGGCACCTGGACGTTGAAACTCGTTAAATTAATTTTTGACGGTCGCCATCGAAGGAGAAGAGTCACCCTACACAGGATCCAAGCGCTCTTTGATTTCGCTGCGCGATTTCCCTTCCAAAAACAAGAATCGAATCACAGACCGATATTTCTCTTTCTCCATTTTCCTAAAATCCGCGGACACGTCCGATTCCACACGCAGTCAAAACAAAACAGTAGCCGTCTAAATAGTAGTACATTTCTCTTGCGATAGTGACGCCATCGGACATATTTTTTGTAATGTCATATTTCCAGTAATTATCTTGCTTAACAATTCTTTATTGCGAATTCTAGTGAAAAAGTTTTTTTCCTTGTGAAACCGAACTCCACGTGCATACCTTTACTGTGAGTATAAATTGTGGGAAACAGACAAAGCAAAGAGAAATGTTAAGTAATTCGATGGCGAAAAGTAGTCAATATGGAAATTCCGAATTAGGGCTGAACTAGCTGAACTTTTTTTTAAAGTTATAGACCATTAAAAGCCAAATGAAGTTTATGACGCCTGGAAGATAGCGAAGCGTTTTGCGAAAAGTACACTTATAGAGTACTTAAGCGACTTTTTTTTTTAATTTCGCCACGAGCGACACATCCGCAGTATATGAGAGAAAGAGTTTGGCTACGCTATTGGCCGTGCGACGCAATTGGAGTGTTTTCCCTTAAGCTATCGAGTGAGATGGTACTATTAAGACATTTCAATATTTTCAGTCGCCGGTGCCAAAATGGATGAAATGGACAAGGTGTCGCACTTACTCATAACCTTTTCTTCTTCCTACGATGGCGTCATTACCGCGATAGAAACCTTATCGGAAGAACCTTAGCTTTCGTAAAAAATAGACTTCTTTATCAGAAAATTAAAAAAAAAGAGAGAACGCCAAAATACCAAAGGGAGATGGAGATATGCGAGCACCAAAGCGAGATTGGAATGCGCCAACTACCCGCGATCTCAAAATATGGTTATGTAAGCGGAAAAAATATTTTAGCGTTAGAGTGGGCGTGGCAAACTTTTTTAGGTTAATCTATAGGTATTGACGAGACTAATACATTTAGGTTAGGCTATGGAATCTAAATATGAAATAGGAATTCTGTATCTTTGATAGTTTCCGAGATATCTTCGTTCATATTTACGATATTTTGATGTTTGTGGGCGTGGCAAACTTTTTTTTCAATCGACAGGTATTTTTAAGAACAATACATTTCAGTTAAAATTTGTATTCTAGCACTAAAACTGTAGGAGCCACAGTTTTGGGCGGCTTGTGGGCGTGGCCCCCTGCTGAAACAAACTTGCGCTGCGCAGGAAGCCAAGAATCTGCATGCCAAATCCCCATAGCCTAGCTCTATAGTTTCCGAGATCTCAGCGTTCATAAGGACGGACGGACATGACTAGATCGACTCGGCTAGTGATCCTAATCAAGAATATATATACTTTATGGGGTCGGAAACGCTTTCTTCTGCCTGCTACATACTTTCCGACGAGTCTAGTATACCTTTAAACTCTAAAAGTAACGGGTATAAAAATGTAACTGAAGAAAAATGAAAGAGAGAAGATAAGCCGCGCGCTGTCTTGCATGTTCCCTACCGAAAAAAACCATCAGCATTCGTTTCTCTTTTCGTAAAAAAATGCGTCCTAGAACTATTTTTTTCGAAATGCGTTCCCGAAGTACTGTTTGGAAATGCATCTGGATGCACTATGTTGAAACACATCCAGACGGCCGAGCGTGTCGTTTTGTGTAAAAAAAATGCGACCTAGAACGATTTTTTGCAATAAGATCCCGAACTTACGAGTGGGCAAGCATTGGTATGTTTTTAAATGTTTTCGATTTCGACATGTGTCATGTCAATATATTGCTAATTTTGGAGGACACATAATTTGTTATGCCTTCATATGATTGTTGTGCCAAATTTTCAATCCTAAAACACATGTAATCTTTGAAGTGTAAATATCTAAGTTGGTAAACTGAGCTACGCTCTCGGTGCTAAAGCTCAAGTAATCCCTCTAATCAGAGTTCACGTTTGGTAATGCGATAGGACGGCTGTATCCGCTTCACTAACATAGCTATCCCCCCACTCACTTCAGTCTCATGTGGGCTGGATAGCATTCGTTTCGCTGTCAATGCAGTGCTTACGGTTTTAACATATAATTCCATTGTATACGCATACATTCAGCAAAGGTGCTATAACCAGTCATCACGCAACGCATCAACATCAAACAGATCCTGGACTACTCAAGTTGGCAGTACACGTTCATAACCACACATAGAAACGGTCTACTTTATAAAATTAATCACACATATCAAGGCTGTTTTGGCTGTTTGACCATGTGTCCCACACCACTAAAGTCATTAAAACAAACTTGATCTAATATACGCAGGAGTATTTCCGGCATCGAAATCTCAGTCGCCAAGGCAGAACAATCGGAGAAGCCGCAAGTCGCGCGGACGCCGTCCGAACTCACTTGTGTGCTAACCATTGCAAAGGCCTTACTCAAACAAATCATGATCATCGAAATCGAGGTGCTCGACTCAACCGAGAAACACCGGGTCGATCCGGAAGATTTGTTTATTGCTGTAAAGGTGATCATAAAGGATCAGTTTGGAGACCACGTGCGCCTGGGCTAAACTCGTCTGTCAAGTTGGCGACACTTGCGCTCCTGATCTTTGCTGGCGAGTACTCAGTGAACCGGAATTTAATCACTTGGCTACCACCAAGCGACAAGTTTAATCATCTCATAAACTGTCATTAAGGTATTTTAAGTTACCCCAAAGAACTACTGTACGGCTTTACTTCGTCTGAAGAGCAGGAACAATAACCCGACCATCGTTATCCTGGACAACATTACGTCACTATTCAACTTGCCAACTGTAACCACTGAAAAAAAGTGTACAGTTGAGCAGTCTGGTTGACAAGCGTAAGCGTTTTTTAACTCATACGGTCTGAATCGTCTTGAAAAAGGTGGATAAGAGAACCCGACAGCTCTGGAATGAATCTCTAACGTTCGCAATTTTTTTCTTGGAATGCCTGCCTTACCTTGATTACACTATTACATACCAATACTCAGGACTCATCGTTATATAATAGCTGGTATTGATCGGCCCAACACATCGCATATTTCAGTACATCTTGGCATAGATGCTTCGATTTTGCGACATATGTCGGAAGGCAAAACCCTTCACTATGAGATCGACATCCCCTCTGGAAAGAACCATGCTTTGCATCGCATGGAACTTATAACAGTGATATTAAATCACTGTCGAAAACGGGCGCACCGTCCAGAGAAGGATTCAACCTACAGTGGCTCACAGCTTAAACTGTAAACTGATGTAAACTTTAATTTTAAAGTAAAAAAATGTAAAATACATTTTCCGTATTACCCAGCCAATAATACTCAGTTTTCTAACATAAACTTATTAAAAATCGATGTTCAAAAATTGAGAAAAAGGTTATAAAAAGTGTATATTTAAGAAAATGGGATTTCAATGCCGGAAATCGGAAACTATTCTGTATACATTAGTACTCGCACCTTTAACATACAAAAGTTCTGATATAAGATTTGGCGACGAAAATGATTGTACCTTCAAACAAATTTGTAGTGTTCAATTTCGATGTTTTCGTTTTACCTAAAAATTATTTAATAAGAATTTTTGGTCATTAAATTAATGTTCCACTGAAACGGGTTCCTCTTTTTATCGCTCAATATCTTCCAAACGGATTTTTTTGACAAAAAGTGTTTATCAAAAGTTCCCTATCTCAAGGGATATATAGTTTAAAATTTAAAAAGAAACCGTGGAACCAAGATTGAAAAAATTTGAAAGCAAGCTTTTTCAAAAGTCGTAGAACAAAAGTTCTACCTCAAACGTCGTAATACACATATAAAGACCCCAAGATTCAAAAACAGAAAAGAGATTCATACAAAACCACAAACAAAGAGACAAAATTTTTAATTTTGGAAAGTTGAACAAAATCTTGTTTTTGGAATGACTTTTTAACGGAGCATCGGATTTTAACAAATGAGGTGTCATTCGACACGTATTCTCAGTAAGAGGCTAATAGGATAATAACCTTTGGCATTTATTGTGGGCGCCACAGGTTTGGGCGGCTTGTATATTCGCGTAACAAACTTGCGCTGCGTTCAAGGGTACGGAATCTAAATATGAAATAGGAACTCTGTATCTTTGATAGTTTTCGAGATCTCAGCGTACATACGGACAGACGGGCATGCCTAGATCGACTCGGCTAGTGATCCTAATCAAGAATATATATATATTGTGTGGTCGGAAACACTTCCTTCTGTCTGTTACCGACTTTGCGACGAATCTAGTATACCCTTTTACGAGTAACGGGTATAAAAATGTAAAATATAAAAAAATTAAAATTTTCATACTACATTTTTCTGAGATGGTCACATTCAAAAAATCATACAAAATAAAGGCAAGAGATTTTTGAAAAAAAATTTTTATTTTATTTAACAAATTAAGCTTTTTATACAATGTTAAACTTAAGACTACATTTCCGAGCACTGGCTGCGCAGGCCTTCGACTCTGTCTGTAACTAATTTACTGTGTTTATATCTGTACATGCGGTTTTTTGTGGGTTTAGTTTGTTATTATATTGCTAGCTTTGATTTACTTATAAACCGATGGGCCATCGAGGATTTGGGAAGGGGACTGTGTGCCGAACAGGTGGGCTCTAATACTGGCCACTGTCTAAAAAGTGGTCGGTGTTTGGGATTCCAACGCAGAGTCTGAAGATCGGATTGTTGATGCCTTTTAAAAGGTGTGTCCTATACGAAGCCGGATAAAGGTACTGCACTGTTGTCTCCCAGTTGCCGCTGGGAGAGGTATTTTTGTACATGTGGGATTAAATTTGCAGTATCTATGGGTGAACGTGGCCCATTCCTCCATCTTTTGGTTTTCCAAGTTGCGATCTATTAGCTTGTGTATGTCCTTGCTGTTTATTGGAGTGAAAACTAATGTTGACGTCTTCGTTACCCTTAATGCCTTGATGGCTTGGGACCCAAAAGAGTGTTATTTTTTCCGGATGCTCTTTTGTTAATCCTTGTATCTATCTTATGGTGGGATCGCGATACTCGGGGTTGTTTATTGTCAGGAGTGTCGACAGACTGTCAGTGCAGACAACAAAGTCGCCGTTTTTACGGCTAAAGTTGGCGCATATCCGGAGAGTAGAAGGACATTTGTATCTCCTTCTTTCTTTAAATATGTTTTTAAAGTCGTCAGCTAGTAACCGATTTGGAGTGGTATATAATTTTGGTATGAGTCGGGTTGTACTTTCTTTTATCCTATTGGTGATGCTGGGTAGTCCGGTCTCCGATAGAATGCACTTGGTCGGAGAGGTCGGAAAGGCGTAGATGGATCTGCGTGCAGCTGCGTGGTATGGTGGTTGAATACTCTTGATATTGGAGGATGCAATACAGCCGAAAATCGGGAGCCCGAAATCTATTTTTAAGAGAACTAATGCCCTTGCTATGTTAATTTTAGTATTAATATGTACATGAGAGTATTTTAAGGTTAGAAATTTAATTATATTGAGACGAGTCTTCGGCAGTGTTCTTTAAATGTAAGCCAAGAGTCGAAGATAATTCATAATTTTTTTAAATGATCAGTTTGTTGAAAGATTTTGTTGTTAAATACAAATTTAGGAAAGTTGCAATTTTGTTATTTGTGCAAATATGTAGGACCTGTCATTTTTCAATGGAAAGAGATGCCCCAGATGAAGCGCCCCACTGTTCTCGAAAAATATTGTTTGTAGTTACTATTAGTTTATAGTTTATACAAGCTTTTTGCATTCAACAATTTTGGATTTCAAGCCGTGGAAAAAAGTTTAAAAAGTTCACTTTCAAAAAATTTGACGTTTTCAACAAGTGCTAAATTCATTCGAACAGAATTTAGATGCCCTTTCCATTGATACCCACATGAACATGATGTAAATTCAAATTATGAGTATATTTAACTTTTGTTTCGTCAAAATACTTAGTAGACGCATTGTAAAGTCTACCGGTGCGCTTAAATACATGTGTATTTTCCGCTTTTTGACGATTAACCCACTATCCCAACGACTTCTCTCAGTCTCATGTGGGTCAGAAAACCGCTCCTGCTCCATCAACTAATGATACTTGACCGAATATATATGTACGTTACGGCGAGTCGATTTGTAAGGGGCCGAAAAAGTAAGAGCGTAATCTTTAAACGATTGTAAGCAATATTACCGAACAGCCTAAAGTTGCGTTTGATCACAAAAATATAGTTGCATATTGAAAAGCCAACGTCCGCGCCAATAGAAATACCCAGAAATTTTTTTTCAATTCGAATTTGGTAGAGATAGGCACTCGACCATAGGGATTTTTTTTTGCTGATTGCCAATTAAACTAAATTGAAATTTTTTTTTTTCAGTTATTCTTATGTCGGCCACTATTGACACGACGCTCTTTTCCAAGTACTTTGGAGGCTGTCCCGTTCTGGAAGTGCCTGGCAGGGCTTTTCCAGTACAGCAGTTCTTCTTGGAGGACATTCTTCAAATGACTGACTTTGTCCCCTCGGCGGAATCACGCCGAAAGCGAAAGGAGGCAGAGGACGAAGAACAACTTCAGCTCTCAGAGAACAAGGAAGAGATAGAGACCAACTTTAACAAGGTTTGCGAAGACAAATATTCAGATAAAACACGCAACGCAATGGCTATGCTTTCCGAATCGGACGTTAGCTTCGAACTCCTGGAGGCATTGCTGGTGCATATTAAGTCAAAAAACATTCCTGGTGCCATCCTAGTGTTCCTGCCCGGCTGGAACCTGATATTTGCGCTTATGAAGTTTCTGCAAAATACGAACACTTTTGGTAATTCGGCTCAATATCGCATTCTGCCTTGCCACTCGCAGATCCCGCGAGACGACCAACGTAAGGTTTTTGATCCAGTGCCAGACGGCGTCACCAAAATCATTCTCTCCACCAACATCGCGGAGACTTCTATTACAATCGACGACATTGTCTTTGTAGTTGACATCTGTAAGGCGCGCATGAAACTCTTTACTTCACACAACAACCTTACCAGCTACGCCACCGTATGGGCCAGCAAGACCAATCTAGAACAGCGAAAGGGTCGAGCTGGACGAGTCCGTCCGGGCTTCTGCTTCACGCTCTGTTCTCGTGCCCGCTTCGAAGTACTTGAAGATACCCTTACTCCAGAGATGTTCCGGACTCCGCTGCATGAGATGGCTCTCACCATTAAATTGCTCCGCCTTGGCGCCATTCACCACTTCTTGTCAAAGGCGTTGGAGCCACCGCCAGTTGACGCGGTCATCGAGGCTGAGGTGTTGTTACGGGAGATGCGATGTCTCGACGTCAACGATGAACTTACACCATTGGGCCGCCTTCTGGCACGCCTTCCAATCGAGCCGAGACTGGGAAAGATGATGGTGCTCGGGGCGGTGTTTGGCTGTGCCGATCTGGTGGCCAGCATGGCCTCCTACTCCAGCACCTTTTCAGAGGTGTTTAGCCTGGACATTGGCCAACGCCGCCTGGCAAATCATCAAAAAGCGTTGAGTGGAAGCCAGTGTTCCGATCATGTGGCCATGATCGTGGCCTCACAAATGTGGCAGCGAGCAAAACAACGAGGTGACCAGGAGGAGGCCCGCTTCTGCGACTGGAAGGGTCTGCAAATGAGTACTATGAACGTTATGTGGGATGCAAAGCAGCAGTTGCTAGATCTGCTTCAACAGGCCGGATTTCCAGAAGAGTGCATGATACCGCACCATGTAGACTCAGAGACTAATGGCGATGACCCGGTACTGGACATGTCGTTGGCTCTGCTATGCCTGGGCCTCTACCCCAACATTTGCGTGCACAAGGAGAAGCGTAAGGTGCTAACTACAGAGTCCAAGGCGGCGTTGCTCCACAAAACTTCAGTGAACTGTAGCAACTTGGCCGTTACCTTTCCGTATCCGTTTTTCGTTTTCGGAGAGAAGATACGCACGCGCGCCGTTTCCTGCAAGCAACTATCTATGGTCTCGCCTTTGCAGGTGATGTTGTTCGGATCGCGCAAAATCGATTTGGCAGCCAACAGTATAGTGCGCGTTGACAACTGGGTTAACTTTGAAATGGAGCCGGAACATGCTGCCAAGATCGGGGCCCTGAAGCCGGCACTAGAGGATCTTATAACGGTCGCCTGTGACAATCCGGCCGACATACTGCAGCTGGAGGAACCATATGCCAAACTGGTCAAGGTGGTTAAGGACCTCTGTGGAAAGGGAGCAGGCGATTTTGAACTGCAGCGTGATTCGGGAATTTTGCCGCACCAGTCACGTCAGTTCAGTTCCGGAAGTGGACCAGCCAAACGAGGTCGTTTCGATGGTGGTGGCGGCAGTGGTGGACGCTTCGCTAACAGAGGTTTTGGCGGTTATGGCAACAGAGGAAACAGCAGCTTCGGTAGTGGGGGAATTCGTGGTTTTGGAGGCGGTGGATATGGAACCAACGGTGGGGGGTATGGAAACAATCCAGGCTTTGGAACCAATAGAGGAGCGGGAGGCGGCTTTGGAAACTTTGGAGGAAGCAACGGTGGTGGAAACCAAACTGGCAGCTGGGGACGCTTTTAACGTATAAGGTTCGTTGATGTCTGAATTGAAAAATAAGTGCACACTAAAAAGCGTGACCTTTGATTTTCTGATTGAATTTACGTGGTATATAAATAAAAGACGTTTAATCTCATGCACAAGTTTTTCATGGGACTATGTGCGCCAGCTGGCAATCTACACTGCATAAGTAGGTCTCATTTTGTCCCTGTCGTTTAATCTCCACCAAAAGTGCGTCCGAAAACTTCGTCACAGGCCTTTTCCACGAACCGCGGTGACGCGATTTAATTGTGCTTAGACTGCAAGTTTCGGATGTCAATGTCCTACACATGGTAGAATTATACAAGGTAGTCCCGTCGGCTGCCTAATCGTTCGGCTTTCAGTTAACGTGCTTCAGCGATATTGCTATCCTTTTCACCTGCACGGTCAAAATCGGTGTTCGAGTCGATGAAAAAGTTTTGTGAGTCTTCATCCGTCCCCTCTTTCTTTACATACTAATTAACTTCATATCTTTTAAAAGAAGTTCTTTCAACGTTATTCCAAGTAGGGAAATTTCGGTAGTGCGCGCCATTCACTATAGTGTTTTTTAACTGCAAAATGTTGTGAATTATTATAGGCACTACCAAATACTAGGCCCCGTTTACACCTTAAGTTAAATCAATAAAATTCAGAAACTCCGATAGAGGTCGGATCTGTTACGATAAGAGCTGTTAAGACGAAATGCACCTCCAGAGGTGAAGAACATTAAATTTTCAAATTTAAAGTTTTTAAGCATTCTAAAAGCCTTTTACACTATATCGATTTAGTTATAAGCCCGATTGCTCCAACATAGGGCTAATAACTGAAGTCAAACGCCCAATTTACACTACGCGGTATATTTGGAATTTTTCGATAGGCAACGCTGCAAGAGCTGTTCTGTGGTATTGTTATACATATGTTGACACAATACTCAGAAGGACACAATTATCATGGAAAAGTAGAAATGGGATTGAAAATTTCACAAAGCTCAATTTAATGTTCGGGTGTGGGTTCCATATTGATAAGGTAAGAAGAATTTAAAACGTACTTTCTTAATTGATTTTAAAGTAAGCAATGCTTTCTGGTAATAGTAATATGTTCCAGAGTTGCCACATCTTTTTAAAAAAATATGGTAAAAACTCTAGTTTTCAGCAATTTCTGAAAATGTACTTTGATGGAGCAGCTGACAGTTGACCAAAATTCAACAGTTCGGCATTTCAGCAGTTTAAGGAATAAAACCGCCGCTTTAGGTCGCTGTTCACATAGAGAATCGCTGAAGCGAACAGCTGATCGGCATAAGCATATCTAATCCGATTGAAGAGGAAGTGCAAATCAGTTGCTCGGAAAAAATGCAAAACATCGCATAACTAAATACAATTTGAACGCAAACATGTGAATTTTTTTTAGCACCAAATGATTATTTCATTGCTATAGCTTAGTACTTACATCGACGAAAACCGTGAGTTAACCATAGGAGTGAGCGAGCGGCAAATACGCGGCTAACGCTTTTCGTCGGGTCTGTTTTTCAGCGCGGTATTCAGATGAGCTAAGGAAATACAAGAAAAAATAACCGATTTAGCGAGTTAACTTCGATGAACACCGTTAGCCGCGGCCCAAAGAATCAGAAATCTATTCTTTGGGGGTGTTCGTGGAAAAGCGGTGTGGAAGTAAAAAAAAAAAAATGAAGGAAAACCCAAAAAATTTACTGCAGGAGGTGAGTGCACATAAAAAAAGTACTCCTATTCCAAGCTAATGTATACTATTGTGGGACTTCACCGACAGGAAGCAGTACCACAACAGGGCAAATCCGCAGAATAGTTGAAGTGGTGGAGGTGATCCACTAGAGGAGTTTAAGTCTGGTATTTTTTCTGGTATTTCTTTAGCTCATCTGAGTACCGCGCTGAAAAACAGACCCGACGAAAAGCGTTAGCTGCGTGTTTGCCTCTCGCTCACTCCTCGTAATTAAAAATGGAGGAAAAGCCCCAAACACGGCTAGAGGAGGTCAGTGCAGATGAAAAAGGACGCCTAATCCAAGCTGTTGCCCAATATTGTGGGTCTTGACCGACAGGAAGCTATACCACAACGGGGGAAATCCGCAGAACAGTTAAAGTGCTGGACGAGATCCACTAGAGAATCCCAGTGAGAAGGAACACGGGACATCGCTCGATCTCCGACGAGCTCTCAATTGAGGACTCCACGTCCACCAGCTACTTGACAGCTAAAGCGGAGATGGAGGACGCGCCGGCTTCTATAGGGAGGAGAAAATAAGGTCGCCAGTTAAGGGACAGCTTGGAGAGCCATCACCAGCCATTATTGGCCAGCCTATTGGGACTCGAAGCTGGACTACAGATGACGCGGGAAAGATGGCAAAGCATCCGTGGGACGAGAATGAGGCTTTAAACTACTAATTTGCATAAATAGAAACATTCGTTGAACATTCCATTTATTTTTAATTTAATTTCTTTGTGTACCAGCAGACTCCTCCTTTTTAAATTTCTCCAATTTATTTGTTTTTCGTTTGGCAACAAACCCCGCTGCTTGTCAGTAAGACCATGCTACATGCATTGCAGGTGAACTTTGAAAACTTCGGTCACACTACAAGCAATAAGATTTTTCGACTAGTGAAACTCTTAGCCGAAAACCGCGAGCTAACCATAGGAGTGAGCGAGAGGCAAACAGGCGGCTAAAGGATTTCGTCGGGTCTGTTTTTGAGCGCGGTACTCAGACGAGCTAAGGAAATACCAGACAAAATACCAGATTTCGCGAGTGAATTTTCGATGAACGCCGTTAGCCGCGGCCCAAAGAATAATAAATTTAATCTTTGGCGGTGTTCGTGCAAAGGCGATGTGGAAACTAAATATTAAAAATGAAAGGAAAACCCCAAAATAGGATCCAGGAGGTCAGTGCAGATGAAATAGGACGCCAAATCCAAGCTTATGCCCTTTTTTGTGGGATTTCACCGACAGGAAGCAATTCCACAAAAGGGGCAAGTTCGCAGAATAGTTGAAGTGCTGGAGGTGATCCACTAGAGAATCCCAGTGGGAAGGAATATGCCGAGTGGGACTTGACTCTCTACATGGACATCCTGCCGGGCGTCTCCTCGCAAAGAAAGTGATCTCCGACGACCTCTCCATTAGTACTCCGTACACCACCACCACCAGCTACTTGGCAGCTTAAGCGGAGCTGAAAGACCCGCTGGCTCCTATAGGGAGGAGGAAAATGGAGCGCCCACTAAGGAACAGTTGGAGAAGCCTTAGCCAGCAACTGCCAGGATGCTGGGCGACTTCCTGCAGCATCAGCGGATCAACCCCGTTCCCAATCCGGCTCCCACTTCCTCAAGGTTCAATATGCCTATTGAGACTCGGAGCTGGACTGCAGTAGAGCGGGAAAGATGGCGAAGCATCCGTGGGACGAGAAGGAAGCTTTAAACTACTAATTTACATAAATAAAAACAGTCGTTGAACATTCCATTTATTTATATTTTAATTTAATTGTGTAACAGCAGACTCCTCCTTTTTAAATTTCAATTTCAAACCCAACTGCTTGACAGTAAGACCATGCTACATGCATTGCGGGTGAACTTTGAAAACTTCGGTCACACTAGAAAGAATACGATTTTTCAACTAGTGAAACTCTTAGCCGATCTGAGTACTAGGCTTTAAGGAAAAAAAAGTGGCTGAAGCTGAAATCTCCTTTGTGTGAATATGAATATGAAGTAAAATTCTGGCGAGATTATCAAGTTGGCGATGCGGTTCTCTGAATTACATCCAAATTTGCATTTTAAATACAATGGTCGGGTGAATTATATCCGTTACTCTTAGAGTAAAAGGGTATACTACATTCATGTAACAGGCAGAAGGAAGCGTTTCCGACCCCATAAAGTATACATATTCTTGATCAGGATCACTAGCCGCGTCGATCTAGTCATGCCCGCCTGTCCGTCTGTCTGGCTAGGATTTTGGGATTTGGTATGTAGATTCCTGAGCTTTTTGAGCAGCGCAAGTTTGTTTCAGCAGAGTGCAACGCCCACTCTAACGCCCACAAAACGCCTAAAACTGTGGTGGTTTTTATGCTAGAAAAAAATTGTTAACTAAAATGTATTGGTCTCGTCAATACCTATCGATTGACTAAAAAATAAGTTTTCCACGGCCACAAACCGCTCAAACCTGTGGAGCCCACAATTTTCATCCTATAAAACAAATTTTAACTGAAATTTATTAGTCTCGTCAATACCTATCGATTGACCACATAACCATATAATGAGATCGCGGGTAGGTGGCGCATTTCAACTTGCTTTGCTGCTTGCATATCTCCATTTCCCTTTTGTGATAATCGAGGTAGTCGACTAAAGCGTTTTTCCTTGTTTTATATAGTAAATTTGTTGTCAAATATTCTCCACCAATCTGTCATTTGTTGGGAGGACGTGCATATTCAGTTACTCCTAAAAAAACGTAAACAAAGCAAAACTAAACACAATTTGAACGCTAGCATGTAGAATGTATTCAGAGCCATCATTGCTATTAGCAAATTGATCGAGGATGAGATAAGAGGGACTGTTGTAGGCCAAAAGTAACACCACCATAGTTTTTACAAGCTTGGAATCTTTTAAGTATGTATAATATTTTCCTCGCATACGGTTCTTTGACTATATCCTTTCTTAACAACAATTTTCACTTTCAAATAGCTTTTTCTTTAGATATGTAATGTACGTTTTGGTGAAACAGGTGCCAGGTCTTGCCAAGAAGGACAAAGGCTGGCGGTTGGTCATTGCCTTAAAAAAAGAGCATAGCAATACTTATTTGCAAGATGAGATCAACTGCTGGGTTCCGAACCGTTGGGAGGCTCCTTGGACCTGCACCTTAACAATTTCCGTATAACGGCGCCATTGCAGCTTACTTGCATTTCCTTCTCAAAAAAGCCGAAACGCCATGTACAAAAATCACCTAAGATCGTAAAAAATAGTTAATAAAACACTGGAACACTGAATCGATTTGCGTGTGCGGTCCCATTTTCCGCTGCAGCGATCTGTAGCGACTTGTTCTCGTCTCTTTCCTACACATGCTATATATAATAAATGTGTGAACATATTTTGGGAATCAAATGTGTGAACATATTTGACGCCGAACTATCGATACACATATCGAAATGGAAAATTATTCATATCTTTCACCTCTAGCATTTCGTACGGCGCGTAGTTTTAGTTTTTAGCTGATTCAACGTACAAGTTTTAAGGTTATTTGTTCGCAAGAAGAAGATCCGATGGACTTTGATGACGCGAAGGAGAATATCCAGCCGTTGGCCAGCGGTCGGAACGTAAGCCTGCTGCAAGCCTCTCTCACTCAGGACACCGCCCACAGTCAAGAACTGCTGGCGCATCGCAAGCAATTAGAAGAGGAGGTGCGCACCTACGCAGGCGAGGATCCGCTGGGAGCCTGGTATAATTACATCTGCTGGATTGAGCAGAGCTACCCGGCAGGGGGCAGTGGCTCCGGTCTTCAGGCGGCCCTTTATCAGTGTCTCACCAAATTCGAAGAGGAAGAGCGCTACCGCCAGGACAAACGGCTTATTAAGCTCTTTATTAAATTTGTAAGTTTTTGGTAAGGCCAACTCACCAACACATATTACCTCGCCGCATTTTAGATGGAGAGTCAAAAGGACCAGATCGAGTTTTACCAGCAGATGTATAACAACGGGATCGGAACAATGCTGGCGGATTTTTACATTGCATGGGCCTACAGCTACGACCTAAGCGGCAACATGCGCAAAGCGGACGAGATCTTCCGTTTGGGACTCGAGTGCCGTGCCGACCCGCTGGATGAGCTCATGGAGGCACATCAGCACTTCGGCTATACAGTCGGCCAGCGCATGCTCTACACCGCCGGCGAGGAGGCCAACGCGGTAAACCAGGAGCTAAACGAGCGACGGCTGGCGCTGCAATCGCTGCACGGTCGCCGCGATCAGAAATCGAACATGATTACTGTGGGGAGTATCCGCACCGGACAGGCGGTTAAGAGCGGCTTGCCAGACGTTGTTCAGGTGGGTGTTATGAGACTTTGATTCTTCTGAAAATCCAGCTGCTTTTTAGCGATATGAATGTAAAGGTGGTATAAACTCATATACCTACTAAAAAAGGGAACTATTTTATAAATATTATTTCAAAGAATAGTTTTTAAGAAAACAAAAAATCACACTAGCCCTAGGAGGTATAAAATGAAAGGTTACAAATTCTTTGTACAATACAATTTTATTTCTTGCTAGTTCTTGCACGTGCCTACAAAATTCGTCGCATTATCGCAAAAAATGTATGAAGGCAGACCACGATCTCAATATAAGACACCTTCGTTGCGAAGCACACAAAAATTGCGATGTAGATTTTAAATGGCAGTTTCCCTCGAACACGTAGAGAGATGTGCGCCGGCGCAAAGAAGTCTTTCCCACATCGAGCAAATGGTCCTAACAGTGTAAACCGCTCAACTGGGAGGTTGCCAATAACTTGTTGCAGCAACTAAGACTTGTACACAGTGAACACAGTTGCGTACAATACGACGAAGACGATCACAATTCAAGACTAGGACCGCATCAGTACCACCACGACTAGCAGCGTGGTAGTTTCTAAAGGGTAATTTGCGTACGTAATTGACGACAGCAACATCCTTGGCGGGAAGCAATATGGGATGCTTGTGGGTGTCTGCGATCGATGCAAGTTCCAATCGACCTTCCACCATGATACAGTGCATACTTTACGCTTTGACGATAGTAATAAATCAGGAATATTTCAATGACCATCAAATGAAAGATAAGAGTGTGTAGAATAGGATTTACCTGTTACTTGTATTCACACTCCGCTAAAGACTGGGTTAATCGTCAAAAAACGGAACATAGAAATTTTTTGCATCACAGCTTATCACTGTGGAACGGCCGTCCACGTTGTGACGAAGTGCACCAGGAGAGTGTGCGAAGGCGACTACTATACAGGGATGGTCAAAAGTATTTACAGAAAACAAAAGTTAAATATTCTTATAATTTTAACTTTATGAACATTTTGGCATCAATGGAAAAATCATTTTAATTCCGTTTAAATGATACAAGATTTTTCTTAACCAATTCAGAACTTATTGAAAATGCCAAAATTTTGTGAAAATCTACTTTTTAAACTTTTTTCCAAGTTTTGAAAACTAAAATTTTTTGATGCTAAATGTGTCTTTAAACAATACTTATAGTAAAAGTTTTCAAAAATCGTGTTTTGCGAAGGTTGAAATAGATTGTTCTACGGCTTTTGAAAGACCAGCAAGTTTGGCTGAAAATCCAAAAGAAATATATAGATATAAAAGGCTCTAAACAACTTATGCTACAGATACGTGGTATACCTCTATCTATCTTAATATGCTTATCAAGCTGTCTTTGCTTATTTTTCTAAGTACAATAGATTTAAAGTTATAGCAAAAAAAACAGCTTTTGCCTATTTTTTCAAAATTTTTTCGAATGATTTCTTATTAAATTTCAAACAGAGAAATTCCAGAATTTTCCATAAATATATCACTTTTTGTCATTAAAATTACCGTTTGGAAGATATTGAGGGATAATAATTAAATTACATGTATGGCCGAAAACAAAGCCAAATTAATATAATGAGCAAAAATTTTTTTTCGATATTGTTTAAGTAAAAGGAAAACATTTGGATGTTTTTGTCGAAATGATTGTAAAGCGTCACCTACCCTCGATTTCAATGTATGTTAATGTGGGCAGCAGACAGATTTCATCGTTATAGGCGTTTCAATACCCCACTGACCACAGATAATCATGAAGTTTGGTCGAAAAATATTATCGCAACCTCCTTTTATAGCGTGAGCGTTGTTTTTTGTTTTCCTTTTTATCTTCTTTTTAACTTCTAGAAAACATTTGTGAGACCGAATTTTCCCAATAATTTTGTTTTTTAAAAAAGTTGTTTTATCATCTTTCTGTCGCCCAGAAGTTTCTCAGAAGTTACTTCTTCGCGGTCCCGCCCTTATTGTTTTTTTTAAATGTGTTCTATCGCTGAGAAATGTCTCGGAAGTTACTTCTTTGCGATCCCGAACCTGTTTTTTTTTTTTTGTAAAATGTATTTTATCGTCTTCTATCGTCCAGAAGTGACTTCTACGCGATAAATGTATATTTTGTTTATGTAAAATAAGTTCTATCGTGTTTCTATTATCGAGAATTTTGAAGTCCCGGTCGGCTACGAAAGTAGCGTTATATAAATCTATGTTGCAATTAAATATATTTAATAAGAAAATAACCCAACACAAATGGGAAATTTTATAATGTAAAAGCCTTTAACTTAAAGAGAAATCCGATCAATGCTAACATATTCACTTCCGATTGAAAACTGGGACAGGCAGGCATATTCCGTTGGGGATAAAAAACCAATATGCCACGGGCTCTTGTTTATCATAATAAACGATATGGGTTGCTTTTTTATATAAGATGTATCTCTTATTACATTGATTATTATTCCATCTGTTTAAAAGGAGTCGAACAGTCGAACATTTATGTACGTTAGGGCGATCATACAAATTAAATCGTGTTCTTACCCCCTCTCATATAATACATTAAATTACGCAAAATATGTATTCGAAAACAATTGTGTTTTAGGATATTTATATTGACTAGCTTTTCCGCCGCAATCTTGTTTGCGTTCAAGAAGCCGTTTTTAAAAGTGGTAGGAAAGATTTTAACATTTTGTCTCCATAAAACAATTGCAACCGAAATATTTCCAAAAAAAACTTACAATTTATTTTTATTCCGCGGACTTAACACTAAATAAACTAATAATGTTTGTTTGCCTCTTTTTCCCGTTATCTCGTCGCCCCTTTTCACCGTAATCTTGTTACCCCGTTGCTTTTTGCCCCATTTCTCCATGGGTCAATGCAATAATACCCCTTTGTAGTGTTGGGTTGCTCATGACTGAGTCAACAAAAAAAATTTTCACTAAACTGAGTGAGTTCACTTGTTTAGTTTGATTATCTTGCTATTGTTTGTTCACCTGCTCACTTTTGCTCACTTGCTTTGCTCTCTTCCTCTTTTTTGTCTTTGCTCAGTTTTGACCTGAACAAGTTGTTCAATTTGGCACATATGATTTTTTCTGAATTTTTGCATGCGGTTCTACATCCAATTAGCTATGTTTACTATTATCTCAGAGCGCCCAAGCGAGGTCATCTTTCCGTATATTTGTTATGAAATTCTCACTATGATGAGATCTAGAAGGTAAAACGAAATTTTGAGCCATGTTGAGGATCTAGGAGTCCAGCAGTCCAAGTGGAAATATTGCAAGACAACAACAAGTGAACAAGTGGGCTAGTGAGCAAGAGAGCAAGTGAACAAGTGAACAACTGAACTAGTCACCAAAATGAGTGAGTTGACACTAAAAAAAAGAACAAGTGAACATGTTCACCCAAATGAGCATTATATACCCAACACTACCTCTTTGTCCTTTGCCCATATTAATAATGGACACAGGTCTGAGGAAACATGAATTAAACATTTTGAATGCACTTTGCAGCCAAATAAATTTGTTTGTAAAATAAAATTAATTTTTCCGTTTTAAAAATAACATTTCCTAATTTTTTCAAAATAGAAAATGTTACGTTAAGTAAAAGTAAAATTTGATTTGGAATAAAACGATGTTTTCCGTTTGTAAAAAAACACCCATATACAAATTAATTTTATTCGTTGTCGTCGACTTACAAAAATATAATTTTTATTTTTAAATTTTATTTTGTTGGTGACTGACCTTAATTCACAAACTCACTATTACATCAAGATAATTTTTCTTTTTATTATTAGGTATGACCGATTGCGGCTTCAATCCGAACTAGACTGACTCCTTAATTTCAAAATTTTTAATTTTTTGTTTAAAATAAAAGCTTATGCTGAAACTTTCGCTGAAGGCTAGGGCAATATAGCTGTTTTTTTAGTATAACAAATTTATTTATTTAACGTTGATCAGCCAACTTAATGGCTATAAAACGTTGTCTACGAAGAGGAAAAATTAACATGGAAACATAACAGAAAAGGAGATTAACAATATTTACAATAATTGAACAATTTCATTGCTTTAGGACTCGAGAGACCTGACGTCCTCTTGTCCAGAGATCACCGGGGTGCCTTCGCTTTAGTCTTCTTCTCGTTGAGATTCGGTTTGCCAGGGATGCTGCTAGGTGGTTCGTGTGGGCTTGTAGACGGTCGTTGTAACGGCTTGAGTGCATGTTAATCTGCTCTCGCACCGAGGGGATGTGAAGGTCGCAAGCCAGGACATCGTTCCTTACGTACCAAGGCGCATCCGCAATCGTACGTAGCGCCCGGTTTTGAATTCTTTGGACCCTCATGACATTTGAGTCTTAAGCGGTACCCCATATTTGTATGCAACACGTGAATGAAGGAACCACTATCGACCTGTACAGCAACATCTTGTTGCTAAGGCTGAGCTCACTTTTACCTTTAAGCATCCAATTTAGTTTCCGCAGTTTGGAGCGACATGTTGCTGTAATTTTGGTTATGTGCTGCCTCCACGTAAGACGTTTGTCCAAAATCAAGCCCAAGTACTGAGCCTGGGCTGATTGCGGTATGAGTGTGTCATGTAATTTTACTCTGGGGAGAATTTTACTTCTAAGAGAGAAGTTGCAGTGCTGAGACTTATTTCCGTTTATCGAGATGTTCCATCGATTCGTCCATTCGCCATACACATCCAAAAATTTTTGTGTGATTTGGGTTGCTTCAATTCGACACGCGGATTTGGCAATAAAGGCTGTGTCATCAGCATATGTAGCCAAGAGGGTACCCAGTTCCCTAGAGTATGGCAGGTCAGTGGTATACAGAGTGTATAGTACCGGACCAAGAACGCTACCCTGAGGTACGCCAGCTCGAATGCATCTGATGGACGATCTTTCGCCTCTCACATCGACCATAAAATTTCGTTCTAAAAGATACGATTTCAGGAGAAGATATTGGGCAGTAGGCAGGAGAGTTATCAACTTAAATAGCAAGCCATCGTGCCAAAC